CCAATGTTTTTGGCTCTGAGGGCTTCAGCTCAGGGAAACACAGCTGGGAGGTGGAGGTGGGAGACCATCCTGACTGGACTGTAGGTTTAGTTAAAGAGTCAGTTGAGAGGAAGGGAGAATGTTCTGCTTCACCAAAAGATGGATTTTGGTGTTTACTGCATCGCAGTGGAAAATACAATAATGGTGATGGTCAGACTGTGACAGTGAAGAAGAGTCTCCAGAGGATCAGAGTCCAGCTGGACTATGACAGGGGGGAGGTGTCCTTCTATGACCCTGAAGACACGACTCACATCTACACTCACAGAGACACTTTCACTGAGAAACTCTTCCCATTTTTTAACATTGGAGAAGCAGGAGACGCCAAAACCTCTGATATCAAAGTCTGTCAAACTGCGATTTCTTTGAAAACTGCAACGACGTCTCTGTGAATTCTTGTTTCTTTTCTCTTGTTTCAAGCTTTCTCGTTGTTTGTTACAGCTTGTTTTGTGGTTGTTTGTTTTTCAATTTCGGCAACTCCTGTTGTTATTTTTTATGTGAGAAATTTCAGAAAGAAAAATTTAACACCTGAAGCTTTTTATACAATAAGATACAAATTATTTTCAAAACACAGAGTAAAACAAAATCATAAATGTAATATTTTCTGTTTTGTTTCAAATTCAGTTTGAAGATGTTTAAAGTCATTAAGTGTTCATGAAACTGTTTTTAAACATTTAATCAGTATAAAATAGATGTGACATTGATGAACAAGCACTGATAAATGTCACTTTCTTTACCTTTATCAGTTATTTAGATCCATATCAGCTAATAACAGCATCGTGACAATTTGTGCTTCTAATGTCTTCTTTTAATACTTAACTGTCAGTGATTCATTTAAGTGATTTGCTTCATTTAAATGTGTTTCTTATAGCATGTTCTCCATTATGTTGCAAAATAAGCCAAACTGTGTAGGTTGTCATAATAATTCAGCCATGTTTTTCTTTAAAATGTGTCATTGCAGAATAATGTTGACTGTCTGACATTTATTCAGTTGTATTCATACAAACTAAAGTTCATTCTTTGTTTTTGGATTGTTCCCAAGTTCTGTGTAAATTGCTTTGTCAGATACAGACACTGTTTTCTTTGCTACTGACTGACCCGAAACATTTATTTCATAATTGTTGAACATTTGTACAGTTGAGCTGCTGTTTGTTCCAGTGTGTTTCTGTGAACTCTCACTTCATATTCCAGATCACATCAGCACATTCAGGATTTGGTCTCATTAACTGTGGATTTCCTGTTTTTCACCTGCAGAGCAAATATGATGAAAATGTTGGAAACACGAGTTCACTGATTTCCTGGATTATTTTCTGTCAATAAAAAGATCAAAGTCTGGCTGCGTTTTGATTTGTGTATAAACATGAAGGAAATTTGATCTCTTAATTTTTATTGTTTAATTCTTACTGTATTCAAACTGTCCTTTTATTGGTAACACATTAACACATCTTGTTGAAGTTAGAGAAACACGTGCATCACCTAAGAGAATAAAGCAATAATCTGAAGAATCAGAGAACTTAAGGATTAATATTATTATACAGAAGAAATCCAAAGTGGCAATAAGAGACAAAGTAAGAGGAGGAAACTTCATGTAGTTTATGTGTAAGGCTGCATAAAAAACCTGTCTTTATTATTTAACCGTTGATAATTCAAACAGAATGATGATTTATTAGAGGCATCAGTGCCATTTTAGTCCCCACTGTGCAGCCCTGATGTTGTTGGTCAGACTGTGACAGTGAAGAAGAGTCTCCAGAAGATCAGAGTCCAGCTGGACTATGACAGGGGGGAGGTGTCCTTCTATGACCCTGAAGACATGACTCTGATCTGCACTCACAGAGACACTTTCACTGAGATACGTGTAATATTGGAAAAGCAGGAGATGCCAAAACAACTGTTAATAACATGTTTTAGCCTTTTAGAGCTTTTCATTGTAGTTCAGTGAGATCTCAGTGAATTTCTTTTCTTTGGTTTATTTGAAATGTTTGTGTAAATTATTGTGAATGTATTTGTTTCATCTTTCAATCTTTGATCAACTCCATCAACTTCTTTCTATGTGAGAAAACACTAAAATATCTCTTGGAGTAAATGAAATGTACAACATGAACTGCTGATGACTGAAACACAGAACAGTCATGTGTTCATTTCTTGTCATTTAAGGTCAAGAGCCGTCACTACAGGCCAGCAGGCAGAAATCTGAGAAGCCTGAAACTTTTCTGTTAGTCACTGTGATTTGGAGCGACTAAAACTGATCAAAAACCATTTAAATAACAATTTGACTAGTTCATCTTTTGGTTGTTTCTGTGGCTGAAACTATAAAAATAATGTTTTTTCTCCTTTTTTTTCACACCTGCTGTATTTGACAGCAATTTGAGTCTTTTTAATTATTATTGCTGCATGGAGGATTTACAAAACTCACTGAAGATGTTATAATGAAAACACTGAACATTTTGAGTCTCAATGAAAACCTCATCAGGCAAGTCTTGACACAAATACTGAAGCTGAGAACATTTCCTCTGTATTTTTATTTGATACTAATTAGTCTTATTAACTGTGGAGTTCAAGTTTTTCTCCTGATGAACAAAAATTGTGAAAATATCAGAAAAACAAGTTCATTAATCTCCTGTTTTTTTCTGTCAGTTAAATATATCAAAGCCTGGCTGCTGTCTGATGTGTCTGTAAACACAGAAGGACGCTGAACTTTCTATTTAAACTGTCATTTTATTGATAACACCTTAACACATTTTATTGAAGTTAGAGAAACACGTGAAGCACGTAAGAGAACAGAGCAATAATCAGAAGAATCAGAGAACTAGAGGATTAATATTATTATACAGAAGAAACCCAAAGTGACAAAAAGAGACAAAGGGAAAGTAGAAAGAGCCAACTGCAGAGAAATGATGGAACAAGGTTGGAAACAGAGAGAGTGGGGAAAGAGTGAAAGACACCCTATGAAGAGAAGCCGGCTCAGTGTTGTCAGTGCAGCTCAGTCAGTGACTGTAAAAAGAAGATGGCAGAAGTTCAGAGTGGCTCCAGCTCATCTCAGTGATGCTTCATCTGACTAAATAACAGGAAGGCAGCAGAGCTCACACTGGCCTCAAGAGGAGGACACTTCATGTAGTTTATATGCAGGGCTGCACAATGAATCACTGTTCCTTATTTCACCTTTCATAATTCATACAGATGATGATTTATTAGAGGCATCAGTGTCATTTTAGTCCTAACTGTGCAGCTCTGATCAATAATCTGAATGGAAGCTGGTTCTTCTTCTGACTGAGACTGCTGATGTCTCTGACTGGCGACTGGACAACCTGTCCTTCAGAGTGTGGGAGAAGTTGAAGGAGAAGGTCCACTTCTCCTTCAACTTCTCCCACACACTGACAGCCCCGTCTCTGTCAGTGTGACACATGGAGTAAAAAAACAGCAGGTTCCTGATAATCCAGAGAGAAACATTAAGTATCCTGAAGTTTTTGCTCAGGAAAACACAGCTGGGAGGTGGAGGTGGGAGACCATCCTGAATGCAGTGTGGGTTTGACAAGAATGAATCATCTATTTCACCAGAAACTGGAGCCTGGTGTTTAAATTGTGAGTGTGGAAAATACACTGATGTCGTTCATGAGAGTCTGAGAGTCAAGAAGAGTCTCCAGAGGATCAATGACCAGCACACGAAGATACATTAATTATTATTATTATTAACTACTGGATTTGGAATTGTAATACTGTCCATAGTGCGCATAGACTGTATTACACTATTGTCTTAGTGTGCATTCGCCAGCCAGCATGCAGCCTGTTACAGTTGCTCCTGCTCTCTCTCTTTAGTTTAGATTGTTTTCCTACTTATTCTTCTTTTTTCTTTACTTGGACTTTAGTCTGTTTTAATAACTTTCCTTCAATCATGTGCATTGAGAGGGTTTTTGTTCTGCCGGTGTCTGCAGAACTGTTACTTTCACTGAGAAGGCACAACTCCTACATACTACACGGGCTGTTTACTCGAGAGATCAGCTGATCGCCCCGATGCCGCTGGCTCATCGTCAGACCCACAGACGTACTAGCTGAAATCTGTAGGTAAACACATCGAGGATGCAGAGGAAGAGGAAAGAAGAGAAGAAGGAAGGAGATGGCGGGACAGCGGAGGCTCGAAGTGAGGAGGAAGTACAAACCGTGTCTGCCGTCTATCATGATGGGAAATGTTCAGTCATTAGCTAACAAAATCGAGGAACTAACAGCACTAGCATGGAGTCAGAGAGAATACCGGGAGTGTAGCTTGATGTGTTTCACCAAATCATGGATGCACCAGGATATTCCCGATGACAACGCATCCATGGAAGGCATCTACACTGTTTGGGAAGACAAGGACAGCACCACGAGCGGTAAGCAGGATGGAGGGGGGCTTGCTGTTCTTGTTAACAACCAGTGGTGTAACCCTGCCCATATAACTATCAAAGAAAGGATTTGCTGCCCGTACATTGAACCGTCCGCTGTTGGACTTAGGCCGTATTATTTGCCCAGGGAATTTACCCACGTAATCTTGGTGGCTGTTTATGTTCCTCCCTCTACTAACCTCACAACTGCATGTGACACTATCCAGTCTGCCATAGCCCAGTTACAGACTCAGAACCCGAGTGCCTTCATTGTGATCGCGGGGGACTTCAACCATGTGACCTTGGAGAATACACTGCCAGCATTCACTCAATATGTGGTCTGTCCCAACAGGGGGGAGAGAATTTTAGACCTACTGGATGCAAATTTCAAGGACACATACAGCTCCTCCTCCTTCCCCCCACTGGGCAGGTCAGACCACAACCTGGTTCACCTCACCACCCGCTATGTGCCGATTGTGAGGAGGAAGTCTGTGACCATGAGAAGCATCAGGAGGTGGTCAGAGGAGTCACTAACAGCACTATAGGGCTGTTTTGAGGTGAGTGACCGGGAATCACTCTGTGAGCCTCACGCCGAGGACATCAATGGGCTTACTGAGTGTATTACGGACTACATAGCCTTCTGCACAGACTCCATTGTTCCAGCTCAGACTGTCCATTGTTTCCCAAATAACAAGCCGTGGGTGACTAAGGACATCAAAGCCCTCCTCAATGACAAGAAGAGGGCTTTCAGAGGGGCTCAGTAAAGAGGAGGGGAGAAGGATCCAGGTGTTACTGAAAGACAAGATCAGAGAGGCTAAGGACAATTACAGGAGGAAGCTGGAGTGGAAATTCCAGCAGAACAGCATGAGAGAGGTGTGGAGTGGCATGAAGACCATAACTGGATTCAGGCCAACCAACAGCAGGGGATACAAGGGATACATGGGGATAGAACAGGGGATGCAGTAAACCC